TAACAATAATAACAATAACAATAATGGTAATATTAAATCATACGTCACGATTAAAAAGTTGTTCTTCATAACCCCACGATTGCCAAGTTTATTAGCGCTAACAACAACAAAGACATCAATATTTAGAATGTTAACATTGCTGACGTCATAGTCAACACCAACAACAGCAACAACAACAACAACAAAATCTACAATACATTTAAAAACATCGTCTTTAACGTTAGCAAAAAAATATAATTAAAACCAAAACGGTTACAAAAACAACAACAAATTAAATAACATCAGTTACAACAACATCAACAACAACATTAACAATAACAACAACATCAACATTAATAACATCAACAACAACTTTAACCATATCCAAGATAACACTTCGTTTAGTTTAGAAACTGAATAATCAATAAGATCAAGCTTAAATAAACCCCGATGTACACACCCATGTATGTTATGTATGTATGTATGTATGTATGTATGTATGTATGTATGTATGTATGTATGTATGTATGTATGTACGTGCGTATGTATGTATGTATGTAGTAATTTATGAAATCTACAAAATTTCTAGCGTTGGATAGTTTTTTTCATTACATTTCTTAATATTTACAACTAAATTCTTATCGTCGTTATTTATTTTAATAAAGTTAGAATAATATACAATTTTCCACTTCATTCTCGAGGGTATAGGACCTATTTTGGATCTTGCAATACTCTTCAGCACTTGTTGCAGTTTATATAAAAAATTTCCCAGCCCTTTGTTCCTATGAATAGTATTTATTGTCATCAGTGACTGTGGTGTTTATTTTACCCGCTTTCTTTACTGAATGATATGATTTCTTTGATAAGGCCAATTGCTTTGGTGTTATGTTTAATTGTGCTAATTGTAATGGTACCATTTACTTGCACTTCGGCCGAAGTTACTTTATTCAGTGTCTTCATAGGTGGTATGTTTTATAACCGTTCCTCTTTTCTTGTTAACCCGATCAAGTAATTTGATAAAAATGCATTTAAAATGATATACGGTTGAAAATTTAAAACGAATCTATTAAACACTCAAATAGAAACCAACAAAAGCGGATTGCGCCGACAAGCAATTTTGAGTTCTTCGGGCCTAGCAAGGGTCATGACCTCGGAGAAACTTTTACAGCAGTCTCCCAATGTTATTCTTCCAGTGTGTAGGATGAGGTCGAAAGGGCCGTCCTCGTTTTGGTCGGCAAACTTGATGGCTGTCTCACGTTGGCAAGATGATGCGTCATCGCTGTTTTGAACGCTGCTGTGCCTGGTTCGATAAAATGTATTGTTTGTGCGTTGTTTCGTATTAATTTGTTTTACTTGGCATTGATTTGTATTGCCTTGTATTGTACTGTTCTGTCTGGTATTGAATTGTCCAGTTGTATGGTGTTGAGCTGCATCGTATGTTTGTGTTTGAGAAGTGATAGGAAATATGAGTATAACAGAAAATTAAAAAGAAATAAAATGAAAAAATACAAGAAAAATAAACATGATAAAGAACAACTAAACAAAATGTGCGCTTTTATTAATTGAAAGCTGCCTACACGAAATGATGAATTGATATTATTTTCTTGAAGCAGCACTGAATTGTATGCAGAATGAACCTGGGTTAGACTTAACTGGCAGCGATGAAAAAACGCTTCAACAATGAGCACCATAATTTTGAAATCAAATGAAACAAAACAGACATGCCCTGCTCAAGCTGATATTTAGCACATATTTAAGAATTCAAAACCGCTTCTGTTTATAATTTTACAAAGACACAAAGCAATCGACTGAAAATAATTTAGAAAACAATTATTTAAAAATAAAAAAAGAACACAAGACCCATCGTATTTTTTCAAATGATTCAAACATTAGATCAGCCTGAGGACGTCATACAATCGAACATGTAAACAGTTGAAACGTATGCAAACATGAAAGCTCATTTTCAATATTTTTTAATGTTAAATATCGTTTGTGCATTTGTAGTTGTCTCCATCAACCTGTCTTCATCAGTAGCCCATGCAGCAATCGACTTGAAAGAATCTTACATAGGATGCTATCGAAACATCAGCTCATCGAAGACAGTTACATCAGTTGGCTCAGTGAATGAATGTTCACTAGAGTGCAAAGGTGAAAGTAACAATATGATCGCTTTGAAGAGTGGGAAAGAATGCAACTGTATTGGAAGGTTAGATTCGGCAGTGGCTTCATCCCAGTGTGATGTTCCTTGCAACAATAGAGATGCTTGTGGTGGAAGGGACTCATATTCCGTTTATAAAAGCAAGCCACGAAAGACGCACGATGACTATGCCAGTTTTGAAACACGTCAGAGAGATGTCATTTTGATGACATTACCAAACACTTACACATTTGAAATGTGCGCACATTTCTGTTTTGAGACAAATTATACGTTTTTCCAGAAGATCGACCCGTCAAAAAGATGCGGTTGCTTTCAAGAACATGGTACAGGAAACAGCTCCTTCACAAGATTAATTTGCGATTCCTGCTCAATTGACAGATCCGAAGTTTGCAGATGTTATCACCAAGGTTATGAGACAAAAGCAGCAATATTCGCAACACGCTTCCAATACGACTTCCAACGAGGAGTATCGACTTATTCTCACTGCAGAAACAGAAACAACGGAAGTTACAAAATAACAGCAAACTGTCCCGATGGATGCGATCCGGGATGGAGAGGTGATTCATGCAGAGAAAGAGATTGCTCATCAGGTGGAGGAGATTGTCCCGTTGGAATGAAATGTATTGAGTCCACGGTGAATGGTAATAAGTACGTTGAATGCGTCTGTCCCCCTGGTAAGGTCAGAAACAAATGGTACCAATGTGAGGTTTTCAGGAAGAATTTAGCCTTACATAAACCTCCTTATTACAGTTCACACATTTTTGAACACGAATACTCCGTGGTGGGTTCCCATTACAAAATGCATTTAACAGACGGCAACTATGACGGCTACCACATATCTCACATACTTGATGCCATGCCAGCCTGGATGGCGGTTGACCTGCTCAGTTTATATTGCGTAGGATTCATCAGAGCATACAACAGAATAAATCAAATGACTGAAATGCTGAAAAGAATGGACAAGTTTGTTGTAAGGTTGAACGAAACGTTCGACGTGTTTAATAGAGAAGACATCAGAGACAAAGTCAACTTGTGCGGGTACGGACCAGAAAAAGGGATACAGGGCGGAAACCCCATGATTGTCGTTTGTGAGAACTTCACTATCCTCACAAGATTTGTTTTCATTCAACCATCTGATGAGAGAATGAAAGAACACCTTACCGCACTCGCAGAGTTGGAAGTATTCGAGGCTGGATGCGATCTTTTCAACGGGAGGTGCGGAGAGTTGGAGCCGTGCAGAGAGGAGAAGAAAGAAGGGACAGTCACCATCAGTTGTTCATACGAAACAACTACTGCATCAAACGCCAATGAAGAAAGCAACGCAACAACTGAAGAAAGCAACTCAACAACTGAAGAAAGCAACTCAACAACTGAGGGAGTATATACAAGACTTCCGTCAAGTAATGTATCTTCAATTGTTGGAACCATAGGTGCCCTGTTAGCTGTTTTAGCTATGTTTGTTTCGTTGGCTTTGATTTTGAAAAAAAGAAAAAAGAAAGAGGAAGAGGAAGAGGAAGAGAAAGAAAGTAAAGACGAGCAGTCGGAAGCTTCGTCTGAAGAAGATGAATTGTAGATGGATGAAATGTTTTGTAATCAACTTCATCCACAATAAAATGATGATATGGTTAAAAATTGAAACGATGAAAAAAATTCTTTAAAGACAACATCGTTTTAAAGTATTATCTTTCTAATGATTGTCGTTTGTGAGAACTTCACTATCCTCACAAGATTTGTTTTCATTCAACCATCTGACAAAGGAATGGAAGATGGTCACAGTGCACTCGCAGAGTTGGAAGTATTCGAGGCTGGATGCGATCTTTTTAACGGGAGGTGCGGAGAGGTGGAGCCGTGCAGAGAAGTAAAGAAGGGACAGTCACCATCAGTTGTTCATACAAAACAACTACTGCAGCAAACGCCAATGAAGTAAGCCACGCAACAACAGAAGCAAGCCACGCAACAACAGAAGCAAGCCACGCAACGACAGAAGCAAGCCACGCAACGACAGAAGAAAATAACGCAACAACAGAAGCAAGCCACGCAACGACAGAAGCAAGCCACGCAACGACAGAAGAAAATAACGCAACAACAGAAGCAGGCAGCGCAACAACAGAAGCAGGCAACGCAAAAACTGGGAAAGTTTATGCAAAACCTCCGTCAAGTAATGTATTTTCAATTGTAGGAATCATAGGTGCCATACTAGTTGCTTTAGCTACGTGTGTTTTGGTGGTTATGCTTTTGAAAAAGAGAAAAAAGAAAGAGGAAGAGGAAGAGAGAGAAAGCAAAGACGCGCAGTCGGAAGCTTCGCCTGAAGAAGATGAATTGTAGATGGATAAAATGTTTCGTAATCAACTTCATCCACAATACAATGATGATATGGTTAAAAATTGAAACGATGAAAAAAATTCTTTAAAGACAACATCGTTTTAATGTATTATCTTTCTATTGGTGCAAAATTACTTTCTTACGAATAATGCTTTACATTGCATAAAAATTGTTTAAAATCCACAATATAAAAGAGTAATGGTACAAAACTGTTTGCTATTCTTAATAATGATGGTCATAATGATTGTGACGATTATATTGTTGACGTTGCTGCTACTGATGATCATCATCATAATGATGATGATGATGATGATGACGATGGTGATGATGACGACGATAGCATATATAATTAAGTGATAATTTGTTTCGCGTGCTCTTTGTAGCACTTCTACTAGCTATTCTTATCATATTGTTACAACCGTAGAACTGATTAAATTGCGCTATATTATTTGTTATCCTAATTTATCTTTGCTATATTTGTAATCTTTGGATTGTAAAGAATCCTAAAAAAATATTTGTAAAAACCCATCTTATATGTGGAGGCACAGGTTCCGGCAGATAAAGCAGGTTTCCGAGCTAGGTTTGAAGCAAAGTCGTAAATGTGATTTATGTAGTTACTTGGATTAGTTCATTGTTTCTATTACTCTTGGTATTCAAACGTTCAACAAAGTTTGCGCTTGAAGCAGTTGTGTTCATCCATCGGAAATGTTGAACCTACGGAGTAACGAACACTTGACGATCGTTGGAAGCAACAACAACTGCTGTTGGAAGAATAGAGATCTTCGAAGTTTTAACATCGGTGTTGGTAGTTACATACCTCAAAGGTTAAAATTATATTATCGTCTATCCGTTGGTGCTATTATTATTATTATTACTACTACTACTATTGTAGTTGTTGTGGTAGTAGTAGTTGTAGTATTATTATTATTATTATTATTATTATTATTATTATTATTATTATTATTATTATTATTATTATTATTAGTAGTAGTAGTAGTAGTAGTAGTAGTAGTAGTAGTAGTAGTAGTAGTAGTAGTAGTCGTTGTCAATGTTGTAATCTCATGCAAACTTTCAATATAGTTACATAAAACGTCTGTTGATATTTTTATAGCCTGTTTTTGTGGTACAGACTACTGCAGCAGTCAATCCTCGAGTGAACAGCGGCATGTACCAGAGTCTGATGTGTTTAAACGTTTAATGATCCACGAATTTGATTAATTCTTCTTATCTGATACGTGCAATCTCTTGACGACATCCTGATATGGTACTTGAATGTTAGATTTGAATCAAACGCAACACCCAAGTTAGTTGCATTGTTGCAAAACAAAATTCTTTCACTATTACCTGCAATTTAGTTCATCTCTAATCCGGCCAATTGCTGCCGAGTTCTTAGCGGTAGAAGTTTAGTTTTATTTTGATTCAGTTTTAAACCATTTTACGACATCCATAAATCAACAGACGTCAAACGTTTCACAAATTTTTCCATCTTAATTTGAAACGAATCAGTTGTAGTTTTAACTATCATTTGAATATCATCGGCAAAGGCGTGACTTAAGAACCCAAATGATTCGACAACATTAAAAATCTCTGACGTGTATAACAAAAACAGCAGAGGGCCAAGAACCGATCCCTAGTGACATCAGACTTCAATCAGTACCTGTTGAGGTCTACCACCCAAATAAGATTTAAACCATTCCAAAACCAAACCACCAATACCAAAACCATGACACAATCTTTCTAGTAGAATCCTGTGGTCAACACAGTCAAACGCCGAGCTCATATCGAGAAAAGCCAGGAGTGATATCTTCTGTACATCAATTGCTGAACACAGATCAGAAAATGCTTGTAACAGGGCCTTCTCAGTAGAATGATGTTTCCTAAAAAAGCCAGGTTGGTAGACAGGTAGTAATCTGTTTATCCTCACGTGATAAAGATTATGCTTTACTACCAATCGTTCAATAATCTTAGAAAAAAAGAAAGATTAGATACTGGTCTGTAGTGACTGATTTTTTTATTTGTAAAAACTGTACTTTTTACTTTGAATTTCAATATGCATTTAATTAAAAGATGAAAACAAAATTTTACTTTCACAAAAAGAAAGTTTTTTCTAATCCGATTATTATTTTCATTTCTTCCGGCTGTCCAGTTCATTCTCCATGTCTCTAAGGACGCCATGATTAATATGAATCTATTTGCCCATTATATCTATATCCTATTTATATGGTATGTTTCTATATATGTATGTATGTATGTGTTTGTGTGTGTGTGTCTGTGCGTGCGTGCGTGTACGTGTGCTTGTATTTATCGTTCCAAACTTAATAATGTCTAACATGAACGTGTTGGATTACGATCTTATTCTGATGTTCTCTGCATCATTCATAATGCGGTCGTCGTTGTTGATGTTATTATTATCATTGTTATCATTGTTGTTACTGTTATCAATATCAAAGTTATTATTATTGTTTTTGTTGTTGTTATTATTATTATTATGTTTATCGCCGATGTTGTTTTTCATGTTGCGGCTTAACGCATACCTAGCTGAACAGATTAGCCGAGCTATTATCGTCGTCATCGTCTTTGTCGTCTGCCTCCTCACGATGATAACGTTGTCTATGATGATGATAAGGATGGAAATGTTGATGATGATTGCTAAGATGATGATGATGTTGTTGATGACGAAGATGTTTATGATGATGAAAAGGATGGAAATGTTGATGATGATTGCTAAGATGATGATGGTGATGCTGTTGCTGATGATGGTGATGAAGAAGATGATGATGGTGATGAAGAAGATGATGATGGTGATGATGATGGTGATAATCATATAAAATGACGTAACGCAATTTTGATTTTAAATTTTTTTCTCGTCATACTGTTTTAATTTTGGCGAAGAGCGAGTTTGTTTTCCTCTGCAAGCAAGTGAGGGATCGTTCGAAATAATTAAGTTGGATGTTTACGGGTTATAAAATTGCGTCTATGAGTCTGTTGGTTTTTGCGCGTTAAAGTTTGTATATGTTTGTATACGTCCGTATGTAAAGCTTCTAAATGTGCGTATGTATATGTGTGTGTGTGTATGTGCGGGTATGTATGTTTGTGAGGGTACGTTTATGTTTGTGTGTGTATATGAGTGTGTATGTGGATGGGTTTCATTTCACTCAGACTTGCATCTGTCTACAAGTGGTTATATGGAAGTTTGTTTGTGTCATATTTTTGGCTGCAATGAAATTCAAATTAGTTTTTTTATTTATATCTGGGATTTTCCAATTTTCTTCTATTTATAGAATGTATTCTATTTATAGCTGGAATCTCCGGATCTCAACCGTCATTGCCCAACCAATTGAATGCTGCTCAATCGGCTGGCAGTCTCAGTTCCAAGAGAAAGTTTAGGAGCAGGTTGTGATGATGATGATGATGATGAAAATAGTGGTGGTGGGGATGATTGATGATGATGATGATGATGGTGATGATGCTGATGCTGATGATGATGATTGGTGATGATTATGGTGGTGATGGTGGTACGGATGATGATGACAACGGCGTTGAAGAGAATGAGTGAAATAAAAAAACTTATTGCATTGATGTTGTGAATGAAAAAATAAAATTTTTCATTTAAAACTCACGTTGTTTCGTAAGTTCGAGGTAGTAAGAAACGAACCATCGCAAGAAAAGAAATAATTTAAAATTTGAAAGGCGATTTGAAAAAAAAATTGAAAAAAACATAACAAAACACGCTCCACAGGTCGATGTCTCAGATGTGGGGCCGACTGAACAGCCGTCTGAAACTTTCCGGCATCAGGGCACCACGTCTGAACTCGGAGCGGAAGGCCACCAGGACCCTGGGGGTTATAATGGGAACGTTCATTGCATGTTGGCTGCCCTTTTTTATCCTGGCTCTGGTCAAACCCATTCTGGGGGAGGCAGTTGCACAGAGGGTACCTCGCTGGCTCGAGACTGTATTTCTTTGGCTCGGCTACGCCAACAGTACCATCAACCCAATCATCTACGCCAGATTCAACCGAGATTTTAGAACGCCCTTCCGATACATTCTGCAGTGTCGCTGCAAGAGTATCAACGATCGCATGAGGGTGTCTGAGTTCGCCGAGCAGTACGGCAGGAGTGACTCCGCCCCCCTACCAAGGTCTCTGGACTACCCGGGCCAACAACAGCATCGTCAGTTTTACAACCAATCAAACTCATCATCTCAACTGCTAGCCAGTAAGAAACAACAACAATACATAGAGCACGAGAAGCAGCTACACCAACTGCAACAACGACACCAGCGATTGGATGAGGATGATGACGAATACGTCAACGAAGCTACCGGCGATGGTGGTGGCGCTGCTAGCGATGGCGGCGAAGATGAGGAGTACAAATCGTTCTTGCGTAAACGAAAAAGTGACGATGATGAACGTGATGAAGATTACAACGACGAAAGATCTGCGATGAGCACAGGTGCATCGAATGAAGCCACCGCCACGGCTTCAAACAGCTGCCACAATATCAACCGAGTCAACCACATCAGCAGCAACTTCAATAAACATATCAAACCATTCTCAATGTCGCTAGCTAGTAAAATAACGTTGGCCGTCACCAAAGTTAGACTAAAACCTCATCGCCATCATCATCATGACCTCCAACATCGTCGTAATCATCATTCCCTCACGACGAAAAGCCACAACAATCTGCACAACAACAACAACAACTTGACAGACAACAGTAACAACAACATTGACGATAGCGACGTCGATAAGAAACGAACTTGCAGTTGCATCGATCCGATCGTACTTACCGATCTTACCGATACGGATTATATCGTCGAGTCGGACCGGTTTTCTAGTGACAACCCCACCACACGTCGGTTAACCTTTCTGAGGTTCAGTCCCCAGCTTAAAAGTAATAAGTTTATCGCTAGTTTCAGACATCGAGTTGAAGGACAAAACAACAACAACAGCATCAACAACAACAACATCAACAACAACAACAACAGCATCAACAACAACAACAATTGCAACAACAACAACAACAATTGCAACAACAACGATAACAGTAACAACTACAACAACACAGACAGCAACGCAAACAACAACATCACAAAAGACAGTAACAACCCTAATCTTAATATAAACGGTAATAGTAAACACAATAATGGCAGTATAAATAACAACAATAACAACAACAACGATAATAATAATAATAATAATAATAATAATCTCAGACATGGGGTACAAATGTATCACGAGAGCAACAATGAAAACCACATCAGTTACATCGATTGTGGTAGTGTTGTCGTTGGTGATGATGATGATGATCATAAACTTTTTAATAATGCTGATAATGATGTTGTCGTTAGAATTGATGATGATGAGGATGATGATAACGGTAACGATGATAGTGATCATTTTGATAAAACCATTAAAAGTAAAATCGATAATGAGTATGTTGGTGTTGACTGTGCCAAATTTAAAGGCGGGTTGGATAATAGCAACAGCAATCAACAACACAGATTCAACAACAGAAACATCTAAATCAACAACAACATCT